TTTTTTTTTTTTTTTTTTGATTAAGCTTGGGCTGGGTCGCAGATCATCGAGATGTGGACGGGCGGGCGGGCTCCTGTAGGTACGTGCGTTTGCATAACTTGGGTTGGTCAACTACATACATCATACATATTACATCCCCAAAGTGCAGGACGTCCGTCCCTGCGCCGAAAAGCAAGAAAAAGGGCCGGCTGGCCGAAATGAACTCGCCCCCTCCCCTATATGTGCCAATACACACATACTCCGTAGATGTCATTTCGGCGGGCGCTCAGGAGATGGCGTCTGCAACAAAAGGGCCAAAAAGTCCTTCCTGCATCATCATGATAAGGGCTCGTAGCGGAACCCTTGCCCCCCTTTCCCCCGCCGGGTATAGCGGCAGAGTGAGGGCAAGGTTTTCCTTTTCTGCAACGCCAGGGGTAGACACTGAATGAAAGAGGGTAAATCTGATTCAGTTTCTTAGCGTGGTGAACAGCAGAGATTGCCTTGGGGGAGTTTTAAGAACGTAATTAGTAAAACCCATGATTTTGGGGGGAGGCTGTGTCGAGTCAAGAGCGGATGAAACCATATGCCGGCATCTGAGCCGACGTTTTGCGACTCCCGGTGGTTGTCGAGATGCGATTTTGACTTAGACTTTCTGTTTTACTACCAGTAGAACTCAGCAAGCAAAGTAGCGGGCAGAAAGCATGGCCTCTTGCAATGATACCTAGGCATGGATAAGCGGCGGTAGTCGCAGCGGTGGCGGGCTGAGTTTGGCAGGCGACCCGGGCCAAGTCAATCTATTGCCCACCACCTCCTCTTGTTCAGATTCAATAAGAGATTCAGAAGCGAATCAAACATCCGTAAAACGACGACTAATTAAAATAAAATAAAAAACAATAAAAAAAAACCTGGGGCGGAAGCCGGCACCACACCTTGTCTGTAAGCTTGCTTTTGGACGTGACGCTAGTTGCTTCCGTTGCGGTAAGCCATAGTGGGGTCGGCCATGGGGCTCGCCGTGCCGATTTATCCAGCGGCTGACACGGCACGGGCGATGATGAAGGGCAGAAAATTTAGAGTAGAGAATAGGCTATTCAGGTGGGTGGGTGGGAAAGTCTTCTGACTCGGGGCCACTGGCGAACCCATGTGGTTGATTAGCAAACTGGGTCTGGGAGGGGGGTCTTGGCACACGTAATTTGCAGGTTGGTGGCCGTTATTTTGTCTTGATCAAATATGACTACGGGATTATAGTCTCAGCATATTTCATCCTATTCGAAACCACTAGTTTATCCATCATGGTTGGTTGGCCGTAGTTTGTGTCTATTGAAAAAGACGGGCGATACGGTAGTGCTGTTAGAGGCACATACTAGTGATGACCGGTTCCAGGTGTGTCGGCCCCGTTCGCTACCAGTAATTACATTCTTCGTCTACCGTCTACCGATGTGACAAGGAAAAATATAAGCTTTAGCTGGGCTGTGACGGGTAACACCCCTGCTGGTCTCTTTTTTTTGTCTGCTAATCAGGCTACTTTCAATCTACTGAATTCATCCTGGCATGACTATCCGTCTCTTGTATCGCCGTCTTGATTTGCACTCGGCTACTTGCCTCCCACGACAACTTCATCTACGTCTTCTAGAGCCCGCCATCTCCTTGTTCAACTCGAGATTCATCAGTCAAACGGCTCCGTTTCCAATGGTACGTGTGCATAGGTTTCGCAGAGCCTCCACCGTTTTCTGCGGCATTCTTGTGGCGCGCCAGCCACACACACACACACACACGCACCGCCAAAACACTTTCGGCCGACACTGGGACACTGGTCGCCCGAAAGTCCTAGAGTAACATGTCCCCGCCATACTCCGTAGGTGGTGCTGCCTTGTATCTAGTTGCGCCAAGTCTATTATTCCCGGAAGAGGGGGGGGAGCGGCCCTCCCTGTTTCGCTGGCTTGCCCGCGCTCTTCTCTTCCGTCACAAGAAAAGAGGATAGTCTGCTCCTCCCGTTAATTTATCTGCCCGAACTTTTGACTGGTTGCCTCCGCTCCGTGGAGAGAGAGGCCTTCTGTCAACAGTCATGATGATGACCCTTTTTGCCCATACCCTGTCTTTCGATTACAAACGCCCCCCCCCCCCAAGCGCACAGAAGATCCTGCCCGCAAACGATTGACTCGTGATGCATCCTACGTTTGGTCGCATCTTTATCTTGCCGTCTGTTCGCCGGCTGTTTCGAACCTTATGGTGCCGGGCGCCTATCGAAACGTGGCACGTCAATGGCAGCATCTATCGTCTTGTGCTTAATTTTTGCCATGTTTCCCTGTCCCTCTTTTTTTTTTTTTTTTTGGTGTCTCGTTTGGCCCTCTGCCACCCCCTTGGTGCTTGTACTGCTTCAGACGCGCAGCACTTGTGATGCACTACTCGGCATCTTCCAGCCGTTGGCGGGTGGCATCGCGGAGATGCCAAAACCCGTTTCTGTTATATGCTGGGTTTCGCTGTAGGAGAGGTATATCAGAACGAACGAGGCCGTAGCCACATGCACTTTTTCCCCTTTTGACGGGCGTATCGGTGTCAGCCACCAACTAAATGGGCATCTCATAGGTGATTTCTTACTTGGGCGCCCGCGCGCACCCAAACAGGCGAACAGGCTAATAATACAGCGGGCAAAGCCAGCAGCTACGGAACTCGGCCTACCTATTCATCTTGCACGCGCCCTGTCTCGTATAGCACATAGATGCAGGTAGGTGTCTTTGCAAACAAAATAGAGTGTGACACGCCGTCTGTATCACCGCTTGTAGATACGTAATGTGGATTGACGCTCACGGACTGGAGCCGGCAAAGACGGAAGAGACGAAGCATACCACTGCCAACCAGGTAGCATACGATTGCTGATAGCTTGCTGATAACCACGGCAGCCTGAGTCGATAGTTTGTTCGGGGCGAGTACTGGCTGCTGATACGCCGTAGTAATCTGTACTTGTTACGGAGTGCCTCGTGGGAGTAAGAGGTGTCGCTCCTGGACACACACCCGGCCTCGCGCTCGCGCTCAACCAGCGTCGCACCCCCCCAGGGGCCTGATGACGATCTTCTGCTCAGTATCCGTACTCAGTACCAGTACGTCACGGACAGGCTCTGAGCATTCCTTGGCTCTCGGCATCTGCATCCGAGTCGCTGCTCTTGGCAGACACACAACAGGCCAGGCCAAGCATCCCTCGTGCCCGTACCAGCAACGAGCATCAGAGCCCGCTGCGACGTGGTGATGCAAAGGCACAGCAAGTATCTTATCTCTGTAACCTGAATTGCCTCGGCCGAGATGTGAGTAGTTGTGGTTGGCCCTTTATTACTGTTGCTGGCCCACCTGCAGACGGCGAAAGGTAGGTAGGCAGCGGCAGAGCGATGGCGAGATGGACATGCCTAGGCTCTCCAACCTCTTTCTGCGTGCTGATTCATTGACATGGTGGGCTGAGCGAAGCCTGAGCCACACCCACCAGTGACCACCCACCACCCAGCAGCGAACACCTGGCACCCACCATCGCAAGTTGTTGAATTGTGTGCTACCTTGCCTACTGATATCTAGCGGCTTTCGCTGGCTTGACCCCCTGGTTCTCGCTCGGCAGCCCATCTACGCTTCTTTTGAGCCTTGTTTGCTGACTGGTGCAAGCTCGATTAGGAGGGAGGGAGCGATGAGCAAGTAAGTCACTAATAGATTAGATTATAGCGACAAGTGATGAATAACAAGCTCAGCCGCTTATGGAAGAACGGTCATACTGGAGATGGAAAGGAAAGTCTACTGGGTACTAATACAGTCTACCAGTCTGCCCAGTGTAAATTAATCGAGGAACCAACGTATCTTCGGGAACGGATGGCTCGGGGACAGTTTTAGGGGGCTGCGAGCCGCTGGTTTCGGCGTTTTGGACGCTGAAAATAGTGTCGACGTCACTGACTTTTGGGGATGTTCTCGCCCATATAGCCCGCTAATACATCAAACAAATCTTAGCGAGAGCGCTGTAATTATCGTGCAACTTTTGCCCCTGGCTGAACGTTTCCACTAAAAAGCCTCACCAAAATCGCCCACAAGACCTGCTTCCCACCCCCCCTTTTCACTTTTACCTTGCACACCCCCTCCGTAAAGGGTTTCCCACACCCGTAATTTTTATGTTAATTTAATTTCCATCTTTCTCAATGACCACGAGTTTTAGTGCCGTGGGGCACCTCATTGCGGATCGGTTTTCACGGCATCTTTAGTGCCACAGGTGGCCCCGCCCACCAGTAAGCCCCGGCCTGCGCCAATGCCAAACCTATCCTGGCCAACGGCCGTGCCCGCAAAACACCTTGTCTTGGGACCTTGCATTGGTATATTATATCCTCGGCCGCCGATCCGTTCTGAGCACTCCTCCTCTTTCAAACTCGATCTTCTCATATTCCGCTTATATACAATACGTCTTCACCCTCAACTCCGTCTGCCTTTTCCACTCCATCACAACCACCCGCCGTCAACAACGCAACAACGCCATCCGCAAACATTACCATCCGCGCCTCCCACTTGTCAAATTGGAAGCACCACGATAGTCAAGCCACGACTTCCTTCTCCACTGCCTCGACTATAGCAATTGGCAATCCGTGTAATTCGGTCAAGGAAACTCTATATTGAGATCCAGAGCGTCATATAGTGTCGCTAGAACCGCCACTTAAGCCACCAAACTCTACTTTCAGACGCCGAATTTGATATTTCGAAGTCGGCGAAGTCGGCGTAGTGAACAGTCAGCAGTTCTCACAAGAATTTTCAAACATTAAAAGAGCTGCACTCCCCGTACAGCCATCAAACGCACACAATGGAATCAGTCCCATCAGAAAAGATGGAAACGTACCATGGCTACGTTCGCACCCCTGCCGACGCCATCAAGCTGTTCGAAGCCTGCCGCCTTGGTATTCTACCTCGTGTCCAGCGCCGCCTCTCCGAAAAGGAACGTCAGTCCATTCGCTCCGGATCCGTCTTTGTCTGGGACGAGCGCGAGGCCGGCATGCGCAGATGGACCGACGGCAAGTCCTGGAGCGCATCTCGCGTCTCCGGGAGCTTCCTGACCTACCGAGAGATGGAGGGGAAGCGCGGCGGCGGCTTCGGCACCGGCCGCCGTGCGGGCAAGGACGGCCGTCTAAGTGACGAGGACATGGATGACGGCGAGCCCGAGGGCTACCGCTACAAGGCCGACGGCCTTATGAAGCAGTCCTTCAGCATTACCACCCACAACGACCATCACCTACATCTGATCTCCTACTATTCGCGTCCTCAGCCTGGTCACGCCGAGCTCCCGCAGCCCACCAGTGACCCCAAACTACGCAACATTGTCCCCCGCAAGGGCATGTATCCTGAGTCCAGCATGGGTGAGGCCAATCAGACACCTGCTCTAACCCGTGCTCCCATGCAGCAGTCTCCGTACATGATTACTCCTCAGCATCACCAGCACCAACAAGCCTACGCTCCGCAGTATGCGCAACCTGGCTACAGCTGGCCTCCTTCGCCCGCGGCCACGCCGCCCTACAGCCACTACACCACTGCGCCCTTTCCCGCTGCTGGCTTGCCTCCTCTGCACGGCCGTCATGGCCAGCAGTCGCCTCCCACTTACGGTCTTCCTAGTTCCGCCCAAGGGGCACACACTCCTCAGCCTCACTACTCGTACCCTCACCACTACGAGAATTCGTTACCGCCTCTGCAAAGCACTCCCAAGACTGCTTCTTCATACCAGGGCTTCCCGGGCCGTCTGTCTCCCCCTCACGAGCCTCTGCCTTTCAAGGAGCACGCTCTGGCGAGCATTGACCACCGCGGCTCTCTCAGTCATGGCCCTCTTCCTGGCCTCAACTCGGTGACCAACGGTGCGCCTGCTCAAATCGGCGCTGGCACCCCGCCCACGAGACATGCCAGTGTGAGCCCCCCTCGCACAGCGAATTCGGACCTGCCCAACATCAATGGCCATCGCTCTAGCCTGGGCTCCATCCTCCACCATCCTACGCCCGCCTGCAGCGAGTCTGGCAGCGGCAGTGGACACAACAGTCCCAGGAGCAACAGCATCATGAGCGTGGATAAGCTGGTCTGCCCACCGAACGAGGACACGCGAGCCCTGAGAATGCTTGACCGTAAATTCTGCATCTAGTCATTCTCACCTTTTTCTACTTAGTGTTAATTTTTGATATCATTTGCATAGCATTGGCGTTTGTGTTGGGTCAACGGATTGGTAGTTTGAAGCGCCGAACGCGCTTCCGGCCTGTTATATTCGATATTGCTTGATAGCTTGATATCCTTACGATAATCAGTATATAAGACACAGTCAATCAAGTAAACTACATGCTCTACAAGACGTTTTCCCGACCGCGTGTAATCACGTATAATGTGTTTCGCAGTTGTGTCACGCAATTTCTGATTCTACATTTGGGCATCTAGACCACTTGCCGCAGGGTCCGTCAATATTAGTTCTGAAAGATGGCGTTTGACTCTTGGTTCAGATCTCCTCATCGTTCTAGAAGACTTAGTCAGGACAAAGGTTTCACTGCATCGACTACGTACTCGATGAAGAGTCGATCGCAAGAAGTGGCTTTTGGTTTGGTGCACAATGGCCCCTTGGCTCGTCGCAGCCATCAACACGACCATCGCATTCGACAAGGCTACAACTTTAGAGGCAAATACAATCTGTGACACGCAGATCGTGGGAGGCTAAGAAGAGATTTTCCTCTCACGATTTCGCGTAGCGATCGGATGACTACCAATCTGATTGCGGCAAGCTTCACGCCACACAACTCTAATTCACGACCAACAGAAAAAGAATCAGCACGCCACCATTGTGAGCCTGAACATCATGACTCGACCATTCTACAGCGAGTTGCCGTACTTTAGAAACGGAGGACGGAATATAAGAATAAGTAAGCTTGGTTCTTAAACCTAACTTGCACGTTGTTCGTGGACGTAGCGTGTACACTGCGGCCTGCCTTCACGCTACACCCCTGACTTGATGATGCATTGCTGAATCATTCCATCAAAAAGCCAAGTAACTATGTCTCCGCGGCTCCTCCGACTAGAACAGCTGGTGCTACTTGTACGGCTTTGCAAGCCACAACCTGTGACAGCTTGTGAGCTTCTTGTCGTCGGCGACTGGCAAAAGTACACGCGGCCCAATTATGAAGTATCGGGTAAGCTGCTGAGTGTTGGTGAAAATGGCACCCTCGGTCCCGCTGTATAGTTGTTCCGTGGTGTCGGCGGCACGCGCCATTGCGACGAGCGAACCAAGCTATCGTGCGACGCTTGGGTCGACACTTCAAGATCTTCAGACAATAGATCACGATTGCCGTCATTGGGCTTGCCCACTAGTCGCTCGTTTTCTTCGTGCTCAGTCCATCTTTCTCTGCTATCTTTCATTTAATACAATGGCGTGAGATATACCAGTCACCTCGGACAAAGACGAACCGCAAACAATAATTTCGATCCATCTCTGGCGAAGCCCACGGGCTCCCCAGTCGCAACAATGTTCACATTTAGCCCCCTTCAGGGCGCGCAGTCCGAGTCGCTTGCCACGCAATCCCTCCTGGAGCTCGATGGTGGCGTCAAAATCCTCGTGGGTCTTGGATGGGATGAATCGTTTGATGTGGCCAAGCTCGAGGAGCTGGAAAAGTAAGGCTGCATCGCGTAACAAGGAAGTCAGTCGGCCATTGCTAACCAATACCCAGACAAGTCCCGACCCTGTCTCTCATTCTCCTGACGCACGCAACCGCCCCTCATCTTGCCGCGTACGCACATTGCTGCAAGAACATACCTCTCTTCACGCGCATCCCCGTTTACGCGACCCGGCCCGTCATTGACCTCGGCCGCACCCTCACGCAGGACCTCTACTCGTCGACACCCGCCGCAGCCACAACCATCCCGCAGGCCGCGCTCTCCGCCTCGGCGTATGCCTACGCGCAGACGGCGACGACGGCGCAGAACCTGCTCCTACAGTCACCGACTCCCGACGAGATTGCTCGCTTCTTCTCCCTCATCCAGCCCCTCAAGTACTCGCAGCCGCACCAGCCGCTGCCGTCGCCCTTTTCGCCGCCGCTCAACGGCCTCACCATCACCGCCTACAACGCCGGCCACACCCTCGGCGGCACCATCTGGCACATTCAGCACGGCCTCGAGTCCATCGTCTACGCCGTAGACTGGAACCAAGCGAGGGAAAATGTCTTTGCCGGCGCGGCCTGGCTGGGCGGCGCGGGAGGCGGCGGCGCCCAAGTCATTGAGCAGCTGCGGAAGCCGACGGCGCTGATTTGCAGCAGTCGCGGCGCGGAGCGGAACGCGCAGGCGGGCGGCCGCGCCAAGCGCGATGAGCAGCTGCTGGAAACGATCAAGGCAGCTGTCGCTAGGGGTGGCACAGTCTTGATTCCGGTAGACTCGAGCGCGCGCGTGCTTGAGCTGGCATATTTGCTTGAGCACGCCTGGCGCACAGATTCCGCGTCGGCAACGGGCGTATTAAAGGCTGCCAAGCTCTACTTGGCTGGGCGCAATATGGCGAGCACTATGCGCTACGCACGAAGTATGCTGGAGTGGATGGATGATAGCATTGTACAAGAATTTGAGGCCTTTGCAGAGGGACAGAAAAGGACAAACGGAAACAGCGACAAGAAAGTGGGCGGTCCGTTTGACTTTCGATTTATGCGTCTGCTGGATCGCAAAGCACAAATTGCAAAGCTTCTGACGACGGCTGTCAATAATGGCGAGTCGCGAGGGCGCGTCATTCTGGCCAGCGATACCTGCATGGACTGGGGATTCTCCAAAGACCTGCTCAGAGGCTTGGCATCTGATGCGAATAATGTTGTGATTCTCACAGATAAGCCTGGCCTGGCGCAAGAAAACGTGCCTTCCATCGCGAGAACGCTATGGAGTCTGTGGAAAGAGCGCAAAGACGGAGTTACGACTGTACAGACAACGACGGGTGATGATCTCGAGTACGTGAATACAGGCAGCTATGATTTGGAGATTCGGGACGCCAAGCGTGAGCCTCTCGAGGGCGAGGAATTAACCATATACCAGCAATGGCTTGCCACACAACGGCAGCTTCAAGCCACGCAACAAACAGTAGGAGCCGACGGTATAGAAGCATCTGCCGACGTCGTCGATGACGTGTCCTCAGAGTCTTCGTCAGACTCGGAAAACGAGGATGGCCAGCAACAAGGCAAGGCGCTCAACGTGTCTGCTGCTCTCGGCCAAGCGGGTCGCAAGAATGTGGTTCTCAAAGACGAGGATCTTGGTGTCAGCATTCTGATCAAGAAGAAGGGCGTCTACGACTTTGACTCGCGAGGGAAGCGTGGCCGCGAACGATCGTTTCCTGTCGCGGTGCGCAGAAAGAGAAATGACGACTTTGGCGAGCTGATTCGCCCCGAAGACTATCTACGCGCCGAAGAAAAGGAAGAAGACGACGTTGACGGCCCCAACACTGCCAACGACGACGAAAACCTCGGCAAGAAGCGCAAGTGGGACGATGTGCAAGGTACAAGCGCCAGCAAAAGGTCGCAACTCGACAAAGGAGTTGCCAGCGGCGGCGCCTTTGCCGGCGACGGCGGCGAGGACGGCAACACGACAGGCATGCAAGAGGGCTTCGAGCCCGATGAGCTGGACGCTGCCGAGGACGTTGATGGAGACGAGCCCGACGGCCCCTGCAAACTCGTCTACACGATGGAGACGGTCGCCGTCCGCCTACGCATCGCCTACGTCGACTTTTCCGGCCTGCACGACAAGCGCAGTCTCCATATGCTAATCCCGCTCATCCAGCCGCGCAAGATCATACTCGTTGCGGGCACGCGCGAGGAGACGCTAGCCCTCGCGCAGGACTGCCGCGCCATTCTCGGGGCCGACGCTGCGAGCGGCGAAAAGGGCGGCGCAGGCGGTGCCGACGTCTACACACCCGAGGTCGGTGCCGTCGTGGACGCGAGCGTCGACACGAGCGCCTGGGTCGTCAAACTTGCCGACGCGCTCGTCAAGAAGCTCAAGTGGCAGAATGTGCGCGGCTTGGGCATCGTCACCGTCTCCGGGCAACTGTTTGCCGCCGCGGCGGCCGCCGCCTCTGAAGATGAAGACGCCGCCGCCGCCAACAAGCGCCAAAAGACGAGCGGCGACTCCCTCGCTCTGACGACGACGACGACGGCCCTCGCAACGACGAGCAGCACGCCGGCACTGCCGACACTCGACGTGGTGACGACGAGCTTTGCGGCCGCGGCGGCGCGCACGGCCGCGCAGCCGCTGCACGTGGGCGACC